TTTTTTTTGAATAGGTGTATGATAAGGGGCATTGCACTAAACAAGGCATATATTTTAAAATTTAAAATTTCTCTTTAAAGCATTTATGACTCGAGCAATTAAGTCTGTGAGGGTATCTTAAAACCTGATGCCCTAAAGTCATTTGACTTGGGAGTCATCGATCTAAAGCTCGCTACAACGGTCATTTAGAAAACAATCAGAGATGAAGTTGTCATTGAAAAAATAAATAATTATTCTCTTCGAAGCCTTTTTTTACTCGAGTTATTAAGCCTATAAGGGTGTTTAAAAACCTGGTGCCCTAAAGTTGTCTGACTTGGGAGTTATCGGCCTAAAACCTGCTATATGGGTCATCTAGAGAGTTTAAAGGGTAGTTAAAAAAAATAATAATAAATAAAAATGCATTAGCCTTGTTAAGTCCTAATACTTGTTCGAGGGAATTTGACTTTCGATGAAGGGTAATTAGTCTAGTTGAGTCTTGCAGTCAAAGCAATCAAATAATTGGAGAATCCTTATTCATTGATGTGTTGACTTGCAACTAGTGAGATCTATCGAAATTGGAGAGGGTGAGGATAGTAATGAAAAACTCAATCTTAGATTACACGCTGGAGAAAGAGTGAAAAAAATAAGGTTGGGCGTATATGAATCTTACGAGAGAAGAAGGAATAAATTTGACCATAGAGGGTCGGAAATTGGAATAACTTGTGAAGTCATTAATGTCTACCTAGTTCTTTACACACACGTCGATTTTGCATTAAAAAAATGGATATTGGTTTGGTATTGTAACTTTGAAGCAGTTTGTAAATTTAATTCGGGGATCTCCATTCCCGATGTAAGAAGCTAGATTATCCAACCAAAATATTTTACATGTTTGTGTGTTTGTTAAGTCAAGTTATGATTTTATTTGAGAACAAACAAATATTTAAGTTTCGGGGTGTTTGATAAGTGTATTTTATACACTTACGTAAACCTAAAAATATAGACATTTAATAGTTTTTTAAAGCAATTATAGCCTAATTTGTTGTATATTTCATTTATTAGGTAAAACTATTTTGGTTGGAAGTTAAACCGAAAGAAAGAAGTGAAAAACGGTTAAAAATGGCGTAGTAGAAAATTGAAGACCAAATTGCAAATATCCAATGGTTGAATTGGACCATAAGAGATATTTTAAAGATTGATGGGAGTCAATTTGATGCAATTAGAAGTCAAAAAGGAATGGAATATCATCAGAATATTACCATAAATCGACTTCCAATTACATGATATATTTTTCAGATTTTTAGTCAAGAATTGCGACCAATTTTTGGCATAGTAAACATTCGAATTGAAAATTATCTATTTCTAGGAAAATTGTAACCCTTTTAGTTAGCTTTCCAACTCATTTTAAATCAACGCAATCGGATATCGAGAGACAGTTATGATCAAAATACTGACTGCTGTGCAGAGACAAAAAATTCGCGTGCGAGTGTAATTTTCCTTATTCGATTGGAACTCTTTTGAAAACCAATTTGAACGTGATTTTTCACCAATTTTTGACCACTAAAGATAACCAACAGGAAAATACATAAAGGGGGCTCTCATACTTTTCTCTTATACATAATATACTCCAATATTCATCAATTATCATCATCAAATGAGGAAAATTCATTATTTTTGTAAGAGAATTGAAGAGGACTTGCAAGAATTCAATCAAATGAAGATCAAACTTGGTATTCGACAAAGAAGAGAGAGCGCAAGTGGAGATTTATTAAGAAACCATTGAAGAGATTCAAGATTTCAAGATTTGTCTTCATCTTCTCAATTTATCAAAAATTCGGGTTATGTCTTTGCACTTATATATGATTTCTTGTAATTTAAATATGTTAAGCTAATTTTTCATATTTGTTAGGATGTGATGAACCCTTGTTATGAATTTTTAATTTGAATAATTTAATTGACGTTAATTTGTTTAATTGTTTGGATGTTTATTATCGTTTTCATGCTTTTCAATTAATTGGCCACTAGTTGAATTGTTTGTGAATTTTGTTGTTATCGAGAGAGACAATAGGATCATTAGCACAAAATAATAAATCTTGTGAGGTTCGATAGAGGATAGAGATATACATCTATACTTCATATGGTTTTTATAAGATATTCTAGCTTGTTTAATGCATTTATCATGTTCGCATCTTCATCGAGTGATAGGAAGGTCGTATGAGGGGAATAGATTTGATAACTATCGAGAGGTTTTCAATTAAAATAGGAACATTAACCAACAAGCATGATTTCAAATTGTCAATTTAAATTGTCGAACTAAAATGGAGTAGTAAGGGGGATTCCACATCTTAACAATATTTCTCGCGAATTTGATAAATTTTTACTTAGTTTTCAACTTAGTTGTTAGATTTAATATTGTTTAGTCACAACTAGACCTTGCTATTCAATTAAGGGAATTATTAGATTTAACTCAATCAAACACATAGTTCTCGTGGGTTCGACACTCTACACACTATTATATTATTTGTTCACGATCCTGTCCACTTACGGGTAATCAAAATACTGACTGCTGTGCAAAGACAAAAAATATGCACGCGAGTGTAACTTTCTTTATTCGATTGGAGCTCTTTTGGAAACCAATTTGGACGTGATTTTTCACCAATTTTCGACCACTACAGATACCCAACCGGAGAAAACACAAAGGGGACTCTCATACTTTTCTCTTATACATAACATACTCCAATATTCATCAATTATCATCATCAAAATAGGAGAATTCATTGTTTTTGAATGAGAATTGAAGGGGACTTGCAAGAATTCAATCAAGTGAAAATTCAAACTTGGTATTGGACAAAGAAGAGAGAGCGCAAGTGGAGATTTATTAAGAAACCATTGAAGAGATTTAAGATTTCAATATTTGTCTTCATCTTCTCAATTTATCAAAAATCTATGTTATGTCTTTCCACTTATATATGATTTCTTGTAATTTAAATATGTTAAGCTAATTTTTCATATTTGTTAGGATTTGATGAACCCTTGTTATGAATTTTTAATTTGAATAATTTAATTGACGTTAATTTGTTTAATTGTTTGGATGTTTATTATCGTTTTCATGCTTTTCAATTAATTAGCCACTAGTTAAATTGTTTGTGAATTTTGTTGTTATCGAGAGAGATAATAGGATCATTAGCACAAAATAATAAATATTGTAAGGTTCGATAGAGGATATAGATATACCTCTATGCTTCATATGATTTTTATAAGATATTTTAGCTCGTTTAATGTATTTATCATGTTCGCATCTTTCATCAAGGGATAGGAAGGTCGCATGAGGGGAATAGATTTGATAATTATCGAGAGAGGTTTTCAATTAAAATAGGAACATTGACCAACAAGCATGATTTCAAATTGTCAATTTAAATTGTCGAACTAAAAATGGAGTAGTAAGGGGGATTTCCCATCTTAACAATACTTCTCCCAAATTTGATAAACTTTTACTTATTATTCGATTAAGGGAATTATTAGTTTTAACTCGATCAAACACATAGTTCTCATGGGTTCGACACTCTACACACCACTTTATTATTTGTTCACGATTCCCTTCACATGCGGGTAATCAATCGATCAAGTTTTGGCGCCGTTGCCAGGGACTACTGTTTTTGACTAGTTTTAGTTAATTTTAACTTTAATCTGAATTTTTTTTTATTTTTAGTTTAGTTCATTAATTTAGAAAAATTTTACAGTGTTTCTTGCTTTCTTTTTCAAGACTTTGTATGCGAAGTTCGAGAACTGGTGATCTTGCTCAATTTAACCCAGAAATTGAACGAACATTCAACTTTCGAAGAAGATAACAGCTTGAAACACATCAAGAACAGAAAGAGGAAGACATGGCAAACGAAAATCCGAATCAATTAGCCATCGGGGCTAATCTAGGAGTAGCATAACCGAATATCGCTACAGTCAATGAAAATGCAAGGCTCATGGGAGAGTATATAGTTCCACCGGTAGTGGAAAACCAGTCCAGTATCGTATATTCGGTGTTTGATCAGGCAAACTTCCACCTGAGGACAGATGTCATCAACATGTTCCAAAATGCGCTACAATTTTTTGGGAAAGCTACAGAGAATCCCAACGCTGATATATTAAGTTTTCTGGACATGTGCGCAACAATTGAGTATCTGGGGGTTTCAAGCGAAGCAATTAGACTAAGGCTCTTCCCATACACATTGAGGGATTCAGCAAAGGAATGGTTAGACACTTGCCCACCGCAAATAAAGACAACATGGAACCAATTGAGTCAGAAATTTCTTAGCAAATATTTCCCACCAAAAAGGATTGCAAAGCTAAGGGACGAGATCGCCACTTTTTAGCAAATGGACTCAGAATGCTATTCAGAGGCTTCGGAAAGATACAAGGGTTTACTTCGCCAGTGCCCACAACACGAATTGCAGAAATGGCTTCAAGTGCAATACTTTTACATTGGTTTGAACCCAATTAGCAGGGCTAACGTAGACTCTGTGTGCGATGGTTCTATCACAAAAAGAACCGCGGACCAGGTCTACCAAATCATGGAAGATTTGACATTTACTAGTGCACTTTGACCTACTAAAAGAACGAGTGGAAGGAAAGTTGTTGGGGTATTCGAAGTTGATTCTTTAACAGTACTTTCAGCACAATTGACATCATTGGCATAGAAGGTAGATAAGATGAGTGTAGCCCAGATAGTGGGATCGAAATGCAAACATTGTGGAGGGAACCACGAGAGTGTTGATTGTAATGTAGGATCTCCTTTTGCTCAGACGATAGAAGTCGTGAACTACACTCAGAATTTTCAAAGGCAACAACACAATCCAAATCCTAACACATATTACCCAGGCTGGAGAAATCACCCAGGTTTTCAATGGAGTAATAATCAGAGAGCTCATATTGCGCCACAGCAAACCGCACCACCCGAGTTTCAGTAGAATGAGAAGAAGTCTTCATTAGAAGATCTTGTGACTAAGTTAGCAAAAATATCCACTCAACACATGCAAAGAACGGATAAGAGCTTGCAAGTTCAGGGTGCTGTCATAAAAAAATTGGAGAATCAAATGGGACAAATAGCCAAGGAACTTTCAGAGAGACTGTCGAGAACATTACCTAGTGACACTGAGATAAATCCTAAGCAGCAGGTAATGGCAGTAAAAGTTGTAGAGAATGAGGAGGTTGGGGCAATCACTACACGCAGTGGGATTCAACTTCTAGAAATCACAGTCGAAAGATGGGTGAAAGTAAATGAAAAGGTACCTTCCATAGATGAGGAGCAAGTGGATAAATCTGAACAGCCAGATAAAGTAGTTTCATATCAAGAGTCAGAAAATCTATAGGTTAAGACAACCGTCCCTATCAAACCTCATGTGCCTCCTATCCTATTCCACAGAGATTGCAAAAGATGAAGTTGGAAGAACAGTTTGCAAGGTTCTTGGATATCTTCAAGAAGCTTCATGTTAACATTCCACTAATTGAAGTTATATCTCAAACACCAAACTATGCAAAAATTTTGAAGGAGATCCTATCCAAAAAGAGAAGGTTTTCAAATTTTGAGACCATCAAGTTAAATGAGGAGTGTAGTGCCATCCTGCATAACAAATTACCTCCTAAGTTACAAGATCCAGGGAGTCTCAAAATACCTTGCTCAATAGAGAATGATTCAAATTGTAATTGTTTATGTGACTCAAGAGCAAGTATAAACCTAATGTCTTTATCTGTATACAGGAAATTAGGATTGGAAGAGCTAAAGGGCACATCCATCTCCCTTCAATTGGCAGACATATCAATTAAATACCCACGAGGAGTGGTTGAGAACGTGCTCATTAAAGTAGGAAAATTTATATTCTCCATTGATTTTGTTGTCCTAGATATAGAGGAGCCATGGGATGCAGCGTTACTTATCTTGGGCAGATCCTTTCTATCAACAAGTGGAGCTGTCATGGACTTTGAAAGTGGCGAATTGACATTGAGAGTGGAAGATAAGCAAGATAAGTTCAAGATCTACAACACTATCGAGAATCCATTACATGAAGAGGTCAGCAAAAAGGCTAAGGAAGAGTGCAAGTATATTGCTACAAAGGTGCAACAATGCTCGATAGAGACAAAGCCTAAACATCTAGTTAGCGTTGGACGAGGGAAGAATGGAGGGTTCAAGGTTTGGAGGGCAAAATGAGAATGCAAGGCCGAAAATTGTAAGGAGTGTAAAAGCTCAAAACACATATTTAAGCTACCGTAATCAATTCATCCATACAGTCTAGCTAAAGACTATAAATTAAGCGCTGATTGGGAGGCAATCCAACTTCTAACTCTTTTATTTATTTTGCTTTCTTCATCGCATAGCATATAGATTTGTTTTGATTACTAGGTTACATTAGATTTAGGCACGTTTTAATTTGTAGGGTATCGCCATCCTTAATACTCCCCTTAGGCCATTTAATTTATTGTTGGTATTTTGATTGTTTGGGCTAAGTAACACATGTTTTGGGTTATTTGAACTTTAATGTTTGATTTGAACTGCTATGTCAGGAACATGACATTGTGGAACACTCAAACCAACATAGACTAAAGGAAAAATATGATGACAGAGATTGTCGAGCCGTCATCCATAGTGCCTCACCTATTCAACGAAAAACTTCGGGGAGTATTTTCTTCCTTTTCTTCCCCATTCCCATAGACTCTTACTTTTGCTTTATGACATTGAGGACAATGTCGGGTTCAAGTTTAGGGGTGAAAAAAAAAATATTGAGTTTTTTTTTTTGGTATGCTTGTGTGTTTTGGTGCGTTTGTTTAGTACTACTTAAAAAAACCAAAAAAAAAAAACAACAAAAATTTTTTTTTATTAGGTTGCGTGCTTGTGTAGGTTGGATAGCATGACCAACAATGATGATCTAAACTGAGATTTATTGTTAATTTATGAAATGTGGATATGTTGCATGCTAGAGTGATTGAAGTTTAACTTTGCAAAACTTGATATTATACGCGCACCAGAATTGAGTTTGACATTATGATGAAATGAGTTGTTTCATGCTCTTGTATCGGTGGATTTAGTTGGACATAAATGCTTTACCCAAACTATACTAAACTAATTATTATTAGACCAAATTTAGCGCAATTTGTGGTGATTTTACTATTATAAGAAAATACGGATGTGGCCAGGGATTCCTTGTGTGAAAAAAAAATTGTGTGGATTGTCTGAGGTGAACAAGATAAATTTGGGTAAAAGTCTTGAGTTGGAGGTCAGTTTTCTTAAATAGGTGTATGATAAGAGACATTGCACTAATCAAGGCATATATTTTAGAATTTAAAAATTCTCTTTGAAGCCTTAATGACTCGAGTAATTAAACCTGCAAGGGTATCTTGAAACCTGATACCCTAAAATCATCTGACTTAGGAGTAATCGGCCTAAAGCTCGCTATAGGGGTCATTTAGAAAGCAAACAGAGATGAAGTTGCCATTGAAAAAAATAATAATAATTGTTCTCTTCGAAACCTTTATGACTCGAGTTATTAAGCCTATAAGGATGTTTAAAAACCTGGTATCCTAAAGTCGTCTGACTTGGAAGTCATTGGCCTAAAGCCTGCTACATGGGTAATCTAGAAAGCTTATAGGGGAGTTCAAAAAAAATAAATAAATGCCTTGTTAAATCCTAACACTTGTGGTCAAAGCAATCAAATAATTGGAGAATCCTTATTCATTGATGTGTTGACTTGCAACTAGTGACATCCACCGAAAATGAAGAGGGTGATGATAGTAATGAAAAACTCAATCTTAGATCACACACTGGAGAAAGAGTGAAAAAAATAAGTTTGGGGGTATGTGAATCTTACAAGAGATGAAATGATAAATTTGACCATAGAGGATCGAAAATTGGAACAACTTGTGAAATCATTAATGTCTCCCTAATTCTTCACACACACACACACACACACACACACACACGTCGATTTTGCTTTAAAAAAATGGATATTGGTTTGGTGTTGTGACTTTGAAGCAATTTGTAAATTTAATACGGTGATCTCCATTCCCGATGTAAAAAGCTAGATTATCCAACCAAAATATTTTACATGTTTGTGTGTTTGTCAAGTTAAGTTATGATTTTGTTTGAGGACAAACAAATGTTTAAGTTTGAGGGTGTTTGATAAGTGTATTTTATACACTTATGTAGACCTAAAAATATAGACATTTAATAGTTCTTTAGAGCAATTATAGCATCATTTGTTGTATATTTCATTTATTAGATAAAACTCGATGGTTGGAAGTTAAACCGAAAAAAAGAAGTGAAAACGGTGAAAAATGACGAAGTACAAAGTTGAAGACCGAATTGCAAATATTCAATGGTTGAATTGGACCATAAGAGATATTTTAAAGATTGATGAGAGTCAATTGGATGCAATTAGAAGTCAAAAAGGAATGGAATATTACCATAAATCGACTTCCAATTACATGATATATTTTTCAGATTTTTAGTCAAGAATTACGACCAATTTTTGGCATAGCAAACGTTCGAATTGGAAAATATCTGTTTCAGGAAAATTGTAGACATTTTAGTTATCTTTCCAACGCATTTTGAATCAACTCAACAGATATCGGAAGACAAAGTTATGATCAAAATACTGACTGCTGTGCAGAGAAAAAATCCGCGCGCAAGTGTAACTTTCCTTATTCGATTGGAACTTTTTTGGAAACCAATTTGGACGTGATTTTTCACCAATTTTCGACCACTACAGATACCCAACAGGAGAATACACAAAGGGGGCTCTCATACTTTTCTCTTATACATAACATACTCCAATATTCATCGATTATCATCATCAAAGGAGGAGAATTCAATGTTTTTGCGAGAGAATTGAAGAGGACTTGCAAAAATTCAATCAAGTGAAGATTCAAACTTGGTATTGGACAAAGAAGAGTGAGCAAAAGTGGAGATTTATTAAGAAACCATTGAAGAGATTCAAGATTTCAAGATTTGTCTTCATCTTCTCAATTTACTAAAAATCTGGGTTATGTCTTTTCACTTATATATAATTTCTTGTAATTTAAATATGTTAGGCTAATTTTTCATATTTGTTAAGATGTGATGAACCCTTGTTATGAATTTTTAATTTGAACAATTTAATTGACGTTAATTTGTTTAATTGTTTGGATGTTTATTATCGTTTTCATGCTTTTCAATTAATTGGCCACTAGTTGAATTGTTTGTGAATTTTGTTGTTATCAAGAGAGACAATAGGATCATTAGCACAAAATAATAAATATTGTGAGGTTCGATAGAGGATGAAAATATACCTCTATACTTCATATGGTTTTTATAAGATGTTCTAACTCGTTTAATGCATTTATCATGTTCACATCTTTCATCGAGTGATAGGAAGGTCGTATGAGGGGAATATATTTGATAACTATCGAGAGAGGTTTCCAATTAAAATAGGAACATTGACCAACAAACATGATTTCAAATTGTCAATCTAAATTGTCGAACTAAAAATGGAGTAGCAAAGGGGATTCTACATCTTAGCAATACTTCTCGCAAATTTGATAAATTTTTACTTGCTTTCTATTTAGTTGATAGATTTAATAGTGTTAGTTACAACTCGACATTGCTATTCGATTAAGGGAATTATTAGCTTTAACTCGATCAAACACATAATTCTCGTGGGTTCGACACTCTACACGCCACTTTATTACTTGTTCGCGCTCCCGTTCACTTGCAGGTAATCAATCGATCACATGGTATTATCATGGATCTCGAATTATGTAAGTCCAGACATTGCTTCCAGCGTGATCTACATGGGCTCAACATCATCAGTATGGAAAGATCTCTATGATAGATTTTCACAAGGCAATGAATCAAGAGTTTACCAAATTCAACTAGAAATTGTTGAACATTGACAAAACTCAGATTCAATCTTTGTCTATTTCAACAAAAAGAAGGCTTTATGGGATGCATTAGCGTTTTATCAGGATCCATTCACCAACATATGTAGAGGACTGAAGAAAGTCAATAAAAGAATGGAAAATAAAAGGCATATGCAATTCCTTATGGGATCAAATAAAACGTGTGATGCAGTCAGAGGTAGCATATTGATGATGAGTCTATTGAATAATACTTGAAAAGCTTTCTCCATGACCCTAGCTACAATATGAATGGCAACTCGACGCCACCTTGTGCTGTGAAGAAACCAACTGCATGTTTCAAGTTATAGTAGTGAATCAATCAGGCAAAACATTCATAGGTAGTAGTACACTTGGAACCTCTTCTTCTCGCACTGAAGGAGCATCGAGGAAGACGTTCAAATGCAAGTTAAATGGTTTCCCAGGACTAAAAATTCCAAGGCAAAAAATCAAGTCTAAGGATCGGAGGATTGCAGCCAATATTCCACCATAAACCAAGGAGATGCCCCAAAGTGCAGCCAATCAAGTAAGAGGGTCCAACCTTCACAACTAAAGAGTACAATCAGATTATTAATTATTGTTGCATATTTCTAGAATTCTCTAGAGCTACTTCGAAAGCAAGAAGAATTCAAGGGTTACAAGAATTATCTAGAGTTTCTTAAGGACCAAGAAAAATAAAATAATGTAGAAATAAAAAAATTCTAGAGACAGTCCACCAACTTTTGAATGCTATAAATAGCAGTTGTCACTTCAATTGTGTATCAGTCCAAAGCATTGCCATTGTAAAAATCTCCTACCATATTCTAAAATCCTATTTTAAGAAATACAATTTCCTCCTTCAACTATTTTCAATTTAAATTACTTCATAATATTTTATGTCCCTAAAATTTATTTCATACAAAGCCTACTAGAAGCACGTGAAAAATGATTAGAAAGGCGTTATGAAATTGACAAGGAAAACACTTTTCAATTTAAAGTTAATATACGACTTCAGAAATCTAAATAAGATGGAAGAAAATCTAAAGATAATTTTAAAAACAAAGAAATTCAAGGAAAAGAAATTGATAAAAGTAGCAAATATTCTCCATGTGGTATTTGTAAAAGAAAAAAGTCATTTAGAGAAGGAACATTGGTGTAAAGGAAAACCACGGTACCATAACTATAAAAAAATTGGTCGTTTAAAACAAAACCATCAAGTTAATTTCTCTAAAGAAAAGGATATAGAAGAAAGTGTATTTTATTCCTCCACCGAAGACGCATCTGATGATAGACGGGATACGT